GTGTTAAAAAAAAAAAAAAAAAAAAAAGAACGAGGGATTTGGCCTGCCGCTTTCGTTACTGGCCTAGTGGTTTGAGCCGCCAGTACGTTTCCCACCCAGCTGTATAAAACATCAAAATAGCGGCGATCGCGTGCATGCTGCCGCGACTCTCAGGAAGTACCTGTGTGTTATTTGGCAGCACATCCATCCAGGCAAAACGGGTTGCTGCCGCGACTCTCGGGAAGTACCTGGGGGTTATTTGGCAGCGCATCCACCCAGGCAACACGGGTCGCATCCGAGGCTCGTTTTGCGTGGATGGATGTCCAGCGAAACGGTACCCTAGTACTTCCTGAGAGTCGCGGCAACATGATGCACGCCACGACTTTGATGTCGTACAGCTGGGTGGGAAACGTACTGGCGGCTCAAACCACTAGGCCAGTAGCGAAATCAGCAGGCCACCTAGAACAGGCGCAGTTGCAGGCTCGTGAGCCTGCCTGGAAGGTAGCTTCATCAACTTATAGGCTTGCCCTTCCTGCACTACAGAGCTGAGAGTTGGGGGTTCATGTCAGTTTTGTCCAACTGTGGAGTCTAACACAGAGAAAATTGGTGGTCTTTTTTCTTCTGTCGAGGATAGGGTAGGGTTTTAAGGGGGTGGGGTTTAAACCACCAGTACATGGCCCCAGGTAACTGGAGAACCTGTTTTGAGCCTCTCCGGAAATTTAGGAGGCCGAGCGCCATAGATAAATCTTCGGAAATTTGCAGCCCTAAGGCTGCGGTATAGTGGGCTTCAGCGTTTGTGTCAAGGTGTCACATTTTCGGCGGCCGGGGACCAGGACGCAAGTGGGTTCTTAGGGGGTGGAAACTCTTGGGGGACCGGTCCTTCAAGATATTGCGAATGACCTACAGCTAGCTCTTCTAGAACCGGGACTTTTGGAAAAAGGAAGGACTGGTCCTCGGGTGGAAGCGGACCCCAGAAAGAAAAGTGGCCAATGCCCTCAGACCTAGGCGTTGAGGCAGGGTCTGGTGCGGACGCGCGTGAACGTTGCCTTCCACGAGGCCCCTACACAAAAGGGGTACCGGCGGGTCCAGTCCCGCAATTTGCAAGAGGCAACTTTGACCATTTTTTGTGCTCAGAAGGATTCGGAGAAATAGTCTGCAAATTCGAGAATCCGTATATTAGGTCGTGATCTTTCCAGGAAAACTATCAGAAACATTTTAAAAAATCACTAAGACTGCGAAATAATCACCGCGCAGATTCGGCACATTTTCCATTTTTGGCACTCAGCCATGTGTGGGCCAAGGAAAAAGTACTCCAACTTCAGTGATTTTTCGCGCTTTGAAGAATGCTTGGAAAATGCTGAAAATTTGACTGCTCGTAGATTTTGTTGTGATCTTTCCAACAAAAATATTAAATAAAGTCTTAAATTTTATTTTAGCTGCGAAATAGATTGCGGCCGCAGTCTAACCCATGTTTCAATTTTGTCATTCAACCTCTCTCTCTCTCTCTCTCTCTCTCTCTCTCTCTCTCTCTCTCTCTCTCTCTCTCTCTCTCTCTCTCTCTCTCGCGTGCACGCGCTTAGTCTCATTGCTTTGGCTACCTTAGGGCTGTGTTCCCCGAGCCCACGCGGTAGACAATTTAGGACGCCGAGCGCTATAGATAAAATGATTTGGGGTGGGCGGCCTCCGAAAGGGGCCCGTGGCCGATACCTGGCATGTACTGGTGCTTTAAGGGTGTCCCAAGGGGCAAATGGATTTGAGGGGGGGACGAGAGGGAAAAGGAGGGTTAGAAAGTGGGCAACCCACAAGGTTTAAGGTTTGGACTTTTTTTTTTTTTTTTTTTTTTTTGATTCCTGAGTTTTTTTGGGTGGGGAGACTCAGCCTATTTTGCCTAGCCTACACCGAGCCTGTCCTTCCGAGCCCGAATGCTCAGAGAGTAACTTTATATATATTCTTTGTTTCATGGATGTTTTGCTGGCTTGTGATGGGGTGTGAACCGACAGTCTGTAGAGTTTTCCATCTGGTGTGGGTGAGTGATAGTCTACTTTGATTTTGGTTAAGGTAGATTATCATTTACAGTGTAATCAGTGAGGG